ACGCATGCGCAATTCACACACCGCTGGCCAGCACTCCACTCAAGTTAACTTTGCTTAAATATTAACCACATTAATACTTACCACAGATTCAGATTAGAGTTGAGATTCTCTCTAAGAGGGATTATAACTGTTCAGGAAAAAAATCCAATTATCATTTAATTCTTTACTGCTCATAATTTTTGCGTATTAATTTTATCTGAATATTTAAATGCACAGATAACCCAAGATGATTTCTAAAGGCCGATTTAGACGACACAACTTTTCCCTACAACTATCGCATGTGACCTGCGTAAGTCATCCTTACGACATGGTTACAACTGTCGTGAGGCTATTAAGCAATTGTTTAAAATCCCTACGACAGTTGTAGCCATGTCGTAAGGATGACTTACGCAGGTTGCATGCGATGGTTGTAAGCAAAAGTTGTGTCGTCTAAATCGGCCTTAAAGCAGACTGAGTTCCTAACATAGAAAATGTATAAAAAAATGTCTTCTGCACGCATTTCTCTTTCTTTTTTTGCTCTTTCTAACTATCCTATTGGGCTTCCTGCAGAATTTTGATTCACCCTTAATCAAGGGAATTGATCCAAAAATGACAAATTGAAATAATACATGTACTTATGACATCAACAATAAATTAAACATTTAATATTTTTTTGATAAATAAGCTACCTATATTAAGAATTATTATCCATACCATGATCAGCTCCTAAGAATCTACACTCAGGTAGAAGTCTTGGGTGAAGTGGGTTAATGTCTATGTGGATTGATGAGTTGTTGCCTTTAGCATTAAGAAATCAGAATTAGAGAACTTAAGATGATTTCGAGATGATTTCTTGAATTCTGTCTAATTAAAGGCGGCTAAATACGAGATACAAAAACCCTCAACTTGGCGTGCAACATTGTTTCTTTTAAAGTTGAGTATCAAAGTTTCTCGTTTTTCATGCATCGTCAACTTGTTATGCAACAAAAATGCAAAAATAACGAGAAACATTGATGCTCAACTTGAACAGAAACAATGGTTCGCGCCAAGTTGAGAGTTTTTGTATCTCGTATTTAGCCGCCTAGACAGAATTCAAGAAATCATCTAGCATTGTGTTAAACCCTTAATGATTCATCTAAGATTCTTGTCTCACATTGTTCACCTGATACTCCTTTTCAGAACTTAGATTTCCACTTTTTATTACTTATAAATACATTCAATATGGTATTCCTTATCAATAACAGTGTAAGCCTCATAATTAATACCGCTGTACAAAAATAGGACCACACCACATCGTGCAGCGACGGAGAGATGAAGAGTTTGTAAGTATTGTTTATTTTTAACGAGGCTGTATCTTTGGTTTTTGTTTGTCATTGTAATCATGGATTATTGATTGATTGTTATTTAGCAAAATGCGACAATCAAGGGTGAATACTAAACCTCAGATTTAGTGTTGACTGCACAAACAGTCAGTTTGCTTTATAAATAGTACCTAGAGCAATCGTACAAATATTGCATGACCTTTACTTAAATTATAAATAGTACCTAGAGCAATCCTTCGAGTAATGCATGACCTTTACTTAAATTATAAATAGTACCTAGAGCAATCCTTCGAGTAATGCATGATCTTTACTTAAATTATAAATAGTACCTAGAGCAATCCTACGGGTAGTGCATGCCCGTTGAGGATGGTCAGGTTCCAATACCCATGTGTTTTGGCCAATCTCATCCATCATGTCCCAAAACCCTTGATAATTTGTTAAAGCCTAAAGAGATAAATGGACACCTTTAACAAATGAAACCATGTTACATCATGTACTCAAAGTACTGTTTTGCCCCCAGTCATATCTCTGTATTGCAAGCAATTCATCAAGGACAGGAGATACAGTGCAAGAGAG